ACACACACACACACACACACACACACACACGTTTGTATTCATATCCATTCATTTCTAGGGGTAAAACCTTAATCCCAACAATGACAACCTTACCCCCTACTCAGCCCTAACCTTAATCACAAGTAACACAAGAGTTTTATTAAATTGGGTTTCCCCTTGTAAGGACCAAAAAATGGTACGTAAAATGTCAAAATGTTTTTTTATCACATGGGAATGTCCCCATAATGTAATATATACATAACCACCAGTCCACCACCCCCCCACCACAAACACGCACACACATACACACACACACCCTCATACTGTACCTTTACCCATTCTCTCCAACCCATATTTGGGTCTGTCTGAGTTTTGTCTAATGCACGACCGTTATACCTACGTATAGAATATTAACACATGACCATGATAAATACCGTCATCTAAATATTGGCAATACGGCTGATTATTAATACACCTCATATTTCATTAAAACGTATAACAAGCAGTTTAAGTTCCAGTTAAAGCCCCAGTTTAGGATTAATAAGTTAATATTCCCTGTCACAGCTTAAGCACACAGTCCTGATTGATATGTAACAGGGGCTAATCCCCTCCTTAGTCAGCACAGTGAGATTAGCTGAGCAAGTACTCCTGCGCCTGGCTGCTGGGAATTTATGTAGGGAAAACAGAAAAGCCTGCAGTCAGGACTAGATCCTACCGATTACACCTCCGCCACCGGCCCCACGACGTCCAGGACTCTTTGCTGAGCGTGAACATCTTTCTGGCCATAAATAGGGGCTGAATTGCTATAACTTACCCTTACTATTGCTGCATCAGAAATTATTACTGTGCTGCTATTTACAAAGGGAAACATCACTTCTCCTTCCAGGGCTGATCACTAGTACTGACGCTTTATGTTATTTGAAGTATATTCTCATTATAGCAAGCTGCTTCACAGTGAAGGATGCTGTTATGTATCACAGTTTCTATCGCCTGTGCCGTCTGTTATTCCTATTCTGAATTACAGTCCATCTCATGTGCTCTCTGCACGCTAATGTCTCATCCTTCATCCTTTCCACACTAACAGAAAAATTAACTACACTGTGTTAACAGCCTGAACAGATATGCTGTAAATGCACAGAAAGTGAATACATCCCATACAGGGTGTCCCTTGACCATCCTGGAATAAGATCCAGAATTACAGCCCTGTACTGAGTAAGTGGCTATGGAAGACGGATGGATGGAAATTAAATATGCAGTAGTTAGAACCGCCCATAAATAACCATGCTATTTAAGTCTCTAACACAGCTAGTAGAGTACAGATTCTACTTCACTGGTCACCTGTATCTAAAGCTGGTTCTTCAGACTTGGCAATGTGATATAAGAGGAACCCCTAATCTAAACAGGATCCAAAGGCTCCCAAAATCACAGCATCGGTATCTTCAGGCAAACATAAATACACAAGCTAATATAGCTAATCCACTGTCCGTGGTAGTGTTGCGTGAGGATGTTCCTGTTTATGCTCTCGTTCTGTGACTTTCTGCAGCCGTTCCCTGGTCCTTTTCAGTTTCTTACATCCTAACGATGCCGGCCGCTCAGGTAGAGTAAATGAATTGTCGGCTGAGGTTTACAGATTAGAAGAGACGGAGCAGCTGGGCACCCAGTCCCACCATAAACATGACCCCATATGCTTGAAGTTTGAACTATTCGCAGCATTTTCTTAGGGGAAACCACACAGTTTGACCATTCGTTCCCTCATTAATGTCCTGACACTGTTTAAATGTTTCTCCTTTCCAAACTCTTATTGCCCTTTTACTGCTTGTTAACTGAAACTAGGGGAGGGGGGGGACTGAGTACAAGTTAGTTCTTCTGACAAAGAAGTTCCAACCATAAAATAAAGTTTAGATTGAAATAAATTGAGAAACCAGCAGCTGAAAGTGCAAAAGAGACGGTGGTAAAGTGTGGGGATGATGAAGAGGGTTTTTAGCTGTGCGGGTTTTACTGTACCTGAGTCCAAAGTCCTGTGGGCAAACTGTGGGGCACTCTACCCGCACTGGGGTAGGTGTGGGGAGATCAGGAACTGGAGGGGCTGGCGGGGGGGTCCGAGGTGCTGGGGGCTCACTGTGTGGAAGAGCAGGGGTGCACCTCTCAGGGGGCGTGGGAGGAGGGGTGGGGAAATCAGCACTCTCCTCAAGAAGGTAGTTGGGTAGGTGTGGCTGGAGAGCTGGTTTCTCAGAGGACTCTGGCAAGTTGGGGGCGGAGCCTCTTGCTTCAGTCTGTCCAATCAGGGAGCACCTGGTGGGAAAGGATAAACAGTGCCCTGAAGACTGGAATCTTCATTGGCCACAAGATGGCTCTCTTTCTCAATTTCACAACATGGAGTGGACTTTAACAGACAATATCCTACTAGCAGCATGCTAAAAACTATATAAATGATTAGTTCCGCATTGTGTTCTTACATTAGATGTTTGGATTTCTTTGGACTTACTAACTTAACCATACAAGGCTGCTATTCGTAACAGTTAATTAAATATTATACCTTTAAATGTCTTGGCTACGCACACGAGCACTGCATGACCTCACTTCCTCTGCTGGGCATCTGAGTGAGAGTCACTGCCCTCGGAGTGGGCACACAGCATCACTGGAGTTGGGAGGCTTCACAGATATTGATGGTGGGATAATGGTCTCTCTATACAACCAACAGAACTTTTTAACACAACTGTTTGCGTTTAATGACGCTAATTTTGCATGAGGTCACCGAAACTGGCAGGGACAGCCAATCATCATGGCTGCGGCTTACCACAGATATTCTTGGTAAGACTGTCAAATAGCTGGATACGAAGTGGCCAGTGGCACTGGTAGTTAGTCTTAAATAAGTACTGGTTTTACTGGTTACATTATTTTGAGTCTCAAGATTAATTAAATGGAGAAGAAATAAAAAGAAGCATTTTTATAAGCAATAGTCACTAAACACGCCCCCAACATCATGGCTCCTTAGTGTGTATTTGAGGTCAGCAAACTGAGACACAAACCATGGTCCCGCTGTCATAAGTTTACCATGTTTACCACAAGGTAACACACACATCCATGCATTCCTCCATTTTCAGTTTGTGCTTTAAGAGTTAATGTGATCTGTAGGCTACCCAGGGAAGCGTGACGATCAAGACAGACACACAGGGACATTAATTAATTAAGAATAATTAAGAGCAATTTAGAGTCATCTAACATAAAATGCACACCTTTGGAATGTGGAAGGAACACTCCCTATATACTACATTAAGTAACAGTTAATGTTTGTAGACATTATTTTAGCGTTCCTGAGCCATTTATTAGTAGAAATATTTTCTTCTTGTGGCAAATCTGGAATTTTAAGAAAGTTTAGTTAAAATTAAAGATGATAATCGCACATCCATTAACTACTGTGATCTGCCTGGCTGGCTCTACATTGCAGCTTTAGAAAAAAGTGAACACCCGTCTGACCAATCAGATTCCAGATTTCAACAGGACCATGATATAACAGGTATTATTCTATGTGTCCCAGAACATCGTCTGTGCTGGTCTGTGCCTGCAGCCTCGCTCTGTCCTCCAGGGCAGCCAGTGGCACCTGAGACACTGAAGCCTAACCCCCGCCCCCCGCAGTCCTTCTCAGTGTAATGGGTGTCACAGGGCAGGGTGGGGTGTGGCGGGGTGGCAGGCGTCGCTGGCCTGTAACCCATTCCTTCACCAGGCTCTAAAAATAGCTCGGCCTCTGCCCGAAGGCTGCTGGCACGCCCTCGACAACTGCGCATAGCATGGATGTCGGGCCTGAGAGAGCACCTCAGGCGGGGCGTGCGGAAAAAGCCACGCTCCGTGTCTGAGGCATGGAACCCAAAGCAGGCTGAGCAATCGCTGGATGGAAATGGGGAAAAGGAGTCTTTTCACTCTCCAGCCACATAATAATGGCAAACATATCACCATGTCAGACAGAGCAAACAGTATGAAGTGTTACAGGCATCTAGATGATCCGGTGGGACACAGACTCTCTGCGACGTAACTGTAAGCCTTAGAGGCAGAGAGTAGGGGTGTAGCAAATACTGCCTGGAGGCCGTGGTACTTACAGATCCTGCTCATTACTGGGGGAGAGGCAGCCAGACCCCCCCTGCGGCCTGGACATCACCTCCAGCACTGCAATACTAACACACTAGTCTGTGTCGAGTTAATGCAGAGGGAGAAGATTGGATGATGTCATTCTGACTGGCCGTGAGCCAGCAGTCCAGGCCCTCTCCCTTAAAATGCTCCACAGAGCACTAGAGCAGCTTTTACAGCTGCTCTTAATCTTTGATATTGTTTCACCGTAATTATCTTTGGCTGTGCAGCACCAGTAGCACCAATAACTGTAGCCTTGGATATAAAAACATGTCCACTGTGATAAACTCGTGCGTGAACACCACGGATGGACTAACACACTACAACAGAACGCACACGCTAGAACAGCCATAACACCTGTCAGGCTATTTACACCAGAGGCGTCAGCGGTTAGTTTACAAGAACACAGAGTACGGTAAATAAACTCAGAGGGGTTCTAAACAGCCTTTTAGGAAACAATGACATTTACTAGGAAAGGGGCAGAACCACACCACTCTTCATTGCATTTCCTCACACCCCATTGGTTAAAAGCCATCAAGCTGGTTTTCTATTGGTTGATAGCTACATGTCAATGCAATGTCAGAAAACTGATGGTCTTGGACATTACCCAGTTTTCATTTGAGCATTTGATTGTGTTTCTGTGGATCCAATCATCCATCCATCCATTCAATAATGCTACACACAAAGGACGCTAATAAATTAGTCCTGAAGCGAGATTAGTTGAGGTTATTTAACTAAATATAATTTTAATAATTCAACAGTGTTTCCTGCTACCTTATTTACTCACATGTGTATGTTGGTGTGAGTAAATAGAGTCAGCTTAGCGACATCATATTAAAACTCACTCAATAAAAGAATGTGACTTATTTGCAATACGCCTCCCCATTCAGCATGAAAACACGCTTCACCTTCGTCATTCTCCATGGCAATGGGTAGATAATGGCCGAGGCCTTGGGACACGTCTGGGCAGCGATGCGGATGACAGCCTCGCTCCTGAGCTCAGTGGCCACCGGTGACAGCAGAGAGATCACTGGGGTTACGCTGAGATTTGGCAGAGTGACACAGGGACAAGCCCCCCGCAGTAATTACACAGAAAGATATGTGCCCTTGGAAAAAGGCACTTCTCACCGACTCGTCCATCGTGTACGAGATCCTGATTTATAATAATACTAATAACACAGGCTGTTTATAAATATTTCCTGCTTCGTGCCCTGTGTTTCCTGGGATACACCATGCTTCACTTCTACTGGATAAGTGGTTGAATGGATGGATGGATGGATGGATACATAAACAGGTCAATTATTTATACTTAATTTTACAGCTGTTGATCCATTTCCTCATAATAACAAGCAAGTAATCTTCAGTGAAAGGTGCTGGGAATGTATTTCACTTCAAATCAGCCATAAATAAATAAATGCTGGGGGTCCCATGTGATTCTCTGGGGGCAGGGGTAGTGTTTTGTTCTGAGTGTGTCACTGCTGCGTTACAGTGACTTGCTTTTGACTGGATTTCGAGCACAACTAGTGAGTCTGATTAGACTATCAACAGCCACACAAGCTTCCTGTGCATGGAGTGACAGACACACAGTGTCCACTGGAGCTGGTCACATGACACATGTTTGATGTTTGGTTTCTCTGCTGGAGCAAAACAGGAAGTACAGCGTGGATACGGATGCTATATCTGTCCCATCATTATTATATTCATGGTGGTTTGAAATGAAAAGGGTCTGGGACCCCCCAAGAAGAAAGGATTTAATGCCATTCTTGATTTTTTTAAAGAGCCATTTTACAGTTTTAAAAAAAAGTTTAATATTTTTAGATATATTCTATATATATTTTCGTTCTATTACCTTCATATATTCTATATATGCTGCTTTATGAAGGTAGTAATTCTTAAAGGTAGATGTGTAGGAAGGCAACTTTTAAGGACTTGCAGGAGAAATAAATTGGATGGTTTCATGCAAAGCAGTTAGCCAGATGTCTTGTTTAGGATGATTTGAATCATTACAGATTTCTACCTAACCGTTTGGCCAATGACAGAACAACTCCACACAATTCCGTATCGGAATCCCCATTCAGACACCCAGAGACACGCTCCATGATCTCATTCCCCATACAAGCCACAGCGATGGTGCCAAAACTCAAGGTGGCCAAAGTCTTTGGTTCCCCCTTAAGCACCAGACAGCGAAGCCTGGTGCGGGTGCAGGAGTGTGCGCATGAGTAGCTGACCCCCCTCCGCACACTGCACAGCTGCACAGTTGTGGGAGGTATAGCGTGCTAAAGCTCAGCTGACTGTAATCCACGTTTTCAGGGCATTACCTGGATAACACTCATTCATTTGGCCTCCCAGAAACCCCTTATCCAACACACGAGCCGTAGTGAGCCTGGAGCATATCCCAGAATGCACAGAGGCATTGGGGGCAGGAAGCATACTGGACAGGATGCCAGTATGTCACAGACACCTGAATAACTCAGAAGACTGAAGGTACTTATTTACCACAAATAACAAGCACCAGGAAAAGAATCAGGAGAAAGTACAGACAGATGAATCTCTGTTCCCCCCCGATGGGTCAACACAGCAAAGTGAGATGCAAGGAGGTCAAACATGTCAGTTAGAGGGACGTCTTGCCCCAATTCAGCCACCAAAAGGCCCAGAGGCAAGTGGGCCTTTCTGTGTGACGGAGAACGGAGACAAAACTCACCCGGCGCTGGGCAGCGGAGTCTCACCCCCCACCCATCCCCCGGAACGGCGGAGGGATAATTCCAGAATGATGGGAGACCTCTCTCTCTCACGGCGCCACACTTAAAATACCAAGGATACTCCACTCGCCAGTCCTTCCCCTGCACCCCTCTCACTCTCTCCCTCTCTCTCTCGCACACAAACACTTTCGAATCGCAGGCACGTGCACACTGCGACACGTTACTTGTTCACAGTGGGGCCCCTTCCCCCACCAATGACTTCATGTGAAACTCCTGCCGGAAAACACAGCCCTTGTCCCTTGTACACCCCGCCCCTGTGATCCCTAGCAAAAGGGGAAGAAGAAACCTTCCAGCCCTTGGGATTAAAAGATCCAGTGATCCTGGCTGGTTGCTGATTTGAGAAAGGATTATCCAGAAAAGTCAGAAACACATGCCCTGAGATAACCACACTAACCTCACACACATCTTGTGTTTAGTCTGGGCTTTCGGCTGCCCACCCAGATCTCTCCCTCCCTCCCTCCCCCTGCCCTCCTCTTTTACGGAAGATTCATAGCCTCTTCTTACATGGGAAAGTTCGCCAGTTATTGAGTCAACAGAGCGTTGGTGACTTTTATGCACTATGCGCCTCAGCACTCGGCGACCCCCCCCCCCCCCCCCCCCCCCTTCTCTCACCTAGCCCCACCCTATTGCTTCTGCATGAAGTGATTGGACCTTCGGAGTGACGGACAGGCAGCAAGTGCTCTGAAAGCATGTGCTGTGGCTCTGGTGCGGGGGGGTTGTGTAAACCAGACGGAGAAAAAAAAAGTGAGAGAGGAAGGAGGCATGAAGGTAGAGGACAGTGACAAAGTTAAATGGGAACTTTTAAAATGGCAGGAAAGAGAAAATGGGGTAGAAGGAGGAAAATGAAAAAGAATATATCCCACCATCCTTTAAGGCTGTAATACTAGCAGAACTGGTGTATACACACACACACACACAGGTTTGTAATTATATCTTTGTGGGGACTCTCCATTCATTTCTATGGGGAAAACATGATGACCTTAACCCCTACCCAGCCCTAACCTTAACCATAAGTAACCAAACAAAATACAACAGTCTTTGCTATTTTAGTTCTTTGATTGTAGTTACGGATTTTTAGCAATTTTTTTTTAGCAAGTTTTCCCTTTTCTGGACCAGGAAACTAGTCCCCATAATGTCAAAGAAAAAAAAACGGATATTTGTTATGTTGTGGGGACATTTGGTGCCCCCAAGGTAAGGTATATCTGGACCACACACACATACATACACACACACACACACACACACACGCACACACACACATACACACACACATACACACATACACACACATACACATACACACGCACACACACACACATACACACAAACACACGTGCACACACGCACACACATACATACACACATTGGCATACCTATCTAAATGGGGACCATTCATTTCTATGGGGAAATCTCTAATCCCAGTCACGACATGCTTAACCCCTACCCAGCCCTAACCTTAACCATAAGTAACCAAACAAATACAAGATTTCTGGCATTTTTACTGTTTTGATTGCATTCACAGATTTTTATAAAATTGAGGTTATGAAAATGCGACCCCAAAAGTAGTTTCAGGCTTTACCGCACTTTGGGGACATTTTGGTGATCTATGCAAACCCCCACACACACAAGCTATTGCTGAGGCCTGAATGGCACTGACAGGGAGACAGCATGCCTTTTTAATCGAAGGCATTCCTCTGGACTCGTACAGGAGATACGGCTTCTTCCCGGGAATGCTCGGAGAGTCCGTTGGGCTGATACAAGGAAGGTTTCGGACCATAATTCCCCACACCATAGTGTTATGATTACGGTTAGCAAATCCTCCGGTGCTACGTTTATCTTCTGCAAATCTCTGGCCTGCATCATGTATTGAAACATTCACAGTCCAGACATTGTAAGATCCAACCAAGAGCTGATACATTTAAATCTGATCCTTTCGTTAAATGCAAACCACCTGTGACACATTGACTTTTGGTCTTTGGGGGAATGTACTGAGATTTTCAACAGATTCTCACCCAGTTAACAAATTCCATAATAAAACCAAGAATGACTCGATAAACCAACAAAATAAATAAATAAATAAAACAAAAACCACTGACCCTTAACAGCTCCTCTATGTCTAAGTCTCAAAAGGACCCAAGCACTAATGTGATCTTATCATCGCTATGCGAACATTGCAGTAAAGAGAAGGCACTGCGATACCTGAGATCAGGCTGGTCTTCCTTCTTGCCTTCTGGGGGCGCTGTTTCCTCGTCGGCCTTACAGAATTCTAGGCTGACTTGGGGTGAAGTTAGATGTTGGATGGGGCTACAGGAGAGAACAAACATTTGGTATCAACCTCCTAAAATGACAATTAGTTGTAATGACTCCCCCCAGTTGAAGTACAAGTAGGTGAACAGTCAGACTGTGCCTGGATCAGGTCCGCTACACACCTGATGTCTTACATGTTTTGCTAATGTCTCACAGTCAGTGTTCCATGTGCTCTTCGCTCTTTTAATCCTGTGTTTATTTTAGTTTCATGCATGTTAAGTGTGTTGCACCCTCAGAAAAAGTGATGACAGGCTCACACTGTGCTCAACAGCTGGCTGGTCAGCCTTGCTGGGAAGCAGGTGTCTTACTGGGTTCATGGCCAGTGGCTTAGGCTGAAGCAGCCAAGTCATTTTTTTAACTGAAAATATTAATATTAGGAACAATGCATATGAACTTTATGGCTTCTGTTTGTGGGACAAAGAACCTAGCTGACATATCTGAAAAATCTGCTGTGAGCATGTCTGTAAAGACCTATGTGTGTCATTCTCAGAGCTTGTGTGTGTGGGACACACTGTGAGGACTTCCAGGCTCTGTTGTTCCCCCAGTGCTAAGATACCCCAATGTGTGAGAGCATGTCAATAAGCCCATTCTGCTCTTGGAACATCAGATGATGTCAGAGATGATGTCACTCCCTGGTGATAATGGTGATGATTCCATTGTCACTCCACCGTTTCAGCCAGAAAGAATGAGCTCCTTTCTTTGCTGTTTGTCCCCTCATATAAACACCATAATACAACCAATACACCATAAATACATATCATTTGTAACTGTCACCTGTTAAGCATCATGTCAGTAGTAAAAAATGCATTTTGATCAAAATGTTAATCAAAATCTTGTTTATGACCCCTGTGCAACATACAGAACATGTCTGTTTGTGTCGTTTCACCTATTTAGCATAGTTTTAATCATCACAGATTTTTTCCACTTTATATTGAGGCTATCCGATGTCTGTTTTAGAAAGCTTTATGCCACAAGGTTGGCTGCCATATGGGTGGACTGTCACTGAATGGTGTATAATGGATATGGAACTGGAGAGAAACCAGTACAAAACGCAGAGAGACTCACATGCAGCCAATGCGGTGCATCCTTAAAAAATGCAAACTCATAATTTAAGCTATATTTCTGATACAGGAACTAACTCTTTACTATATAATTTCAGATCCAATTTTTGAATTTGCCTTTTCACTTGGCTACAAGTTTCTTACCCAACAAATCTCAATCTGTCAAGATGACAAGGAAGCTGACAATGCAGTAGGGAGACAAGATTAATTAAGTCCTTTAAAAATGTATATTAATATCTTAACTTTCATTTTTACATAGCAGCTATGGATGAACAAGTACATATATAAATAATGAAGTTGCACACACTTTCTCATACACATGGGTGTCTGGGTGTGCATCGCACGCACACACACGTGATGTACGCTACCTGTCATGGGAGACGTCTTCAGTGTGGCTGCGTGTTTGCTCCGTGTGAGAGACAGTGGCTGCTTCTCGCAGGGATCTTATCAGCCAGCCTGTATCCTCCGAGGTCACTCCAGCGTGCTGCTCTCCATCAGAGTCTTTGCTCTGACACACTGCCTCTGTCCCTAAGCCTCCATCAGAGTCTTTGCTCTGACACACTGCCTCTGTCCCTAAGCCTCCATCAGAGTCTTTGCTCTGACACACTGCCTCTGTCCCTAAGCCTCCATCTAAGCCTCTGCTCTGGCACACAGACTGTCTACCTGAGCTGTGTGCAGTGAGATGAGCTGCGTCTGGGTCAGCGTGGACACTGTCGCAGTCTGCAGCAATGGGCTCTGGAGGGGAGTCCGTTGCGAGCGGGGGGCCGTGTGCCTGTAGTGACGTCGGTGTGTCACTCGGGTGCAGATCCCCAGCCAGTGTCCCTGTGGGAACCGTGCCAAAGTCGTGCTCCTCCTCTACCCGCATCCCATCAAACAGAAGATCCTCCTCTTCTCTGGAAGTAGGGATCTTGTTGAGCGCCACACTGCTTCGGGGGCATGCTGAGAATGAGTGTTCTTCAGCTCCAGCAGGGACTCCGAACTCCGTTTCCTTCAATAATTCCTTATTTTCCTCACTGAGAGGCCGGAAAACAAGCTGTCTCTGGGTATCAGTATCAGTGTCCTGTACAACCTCATTGCCGTCTCTCACACCTTTTGATCCTCTGCTTTGATCTTTAAAATCTGAAAAGGATCCACGTTCAAGGGACACGGTGGGAGTGGCCTGGACCGCTCTGTGTTGTCCTTCCTTAGTTACAACAAGAGCTTGCTCATAACTTATGTATGCTTCCTGGATTGATTGGGGAACCACTTTGTTACTCTCTATGGAACTGTTGGCCTGACTGAACAGATGGCTGTCCTCAGATGATTCCGAGGCTGAACTCTGCCACCCTGTGGTGGCATTTTCTGGCTGCTCCAGTTCCTCACGTTCCCTGGTCGCTGCTGTGGATAAAGGGCTGTCCACTTCACCCTCAGCAGTAGGTCCACACACCGGGTGTCGTGGGTCGCATGAGTCACAGGTTGGAAATATGCTCAAGGTGGGATGACTGGCAGACTTGTCTGCTAACGGTGGGACTGTAGGCCATTGCTCCACATCTGCCTGGGGTCCGTGGCATTCCTGAGCCGCACTGTGAATGTGGAAACTTGCAGCAACTTGTTGTTCACGCATTAAATTATCTGAACAGGCAAGAGATGTAACGAAATGTGTAGGAGGCACCATAGGGTCTTGAAACAGACTCGTTGCTACGTTGTCCAAGACAGAAGCTGTCGCAGGAGAGCACTGAATGGGGATCTCCTTGTGGATTGGTGCTGCAATGTCATGGTCATGGGCTACGGCATCCCTCTGCTGAGATGTAGGTACAACAGCCACAGTGTCTACTTTCGTGTCACATATAGTTTCTTTTTCTTTACAGCCTGGTGTCAGTGTGTCTCGATCATTTTTGTCCTGGTCACCTGACTTTGGAACAGATCCGGTTGAGATTGAAAAATCCGGCCCCAGACTTTGCTCTGGCCCATTCTTGCTCGCTATAACCTGAGTGGAACCAGCAGAGACCATATCTGATGATTTATCAGATAGGTCTGAGACTGAGGGGCAGGATTGAGCGCCACCTAGTGGAATCTCCTCCCTGGCAGTGCCGCCCTCAGCACATTTCAGGGCTGCTGCATTCCTGAACTGCTCCTCCTCCTCATGGAAGCCTGGCACACCTTGCCAATCGTCGGCGGAGGGTGCGTCACGCTCCTGTGGATCTCCGCCACCGCCTGCCTCCTGCTGCTGCGGATGCTGGGAGGTTTTTGGGATGGGATCCAGACTGTACTGGCGCATAGCTGAGCTTCCTCCCCATGTGTAGTCACCGACATGGTTTGAGGACGTTTCTGTCTCTGTTACCGGGAGGGATTGGTTCTGATCCGCAGACAGATGTAGCCCCCCGCTTAATCCTACATTCCGATTTAATGGGTCTTCAGACAGCTCCATGCTAGCCGAGACTAATCCAGGATCAGGGCTCTCTTCATATTTCTCCTGTCTGCTTCTTTCTTCCTGTTTCTTCTGCACGGGTGTTTCATCTATGAGCATTTCTCTAGGCAGCACTTCCGTCTCTTGCTGTCTGTAATCTTTTCCTGCGTAGTCTTCCTCCTTGTCTTCCTCTGTTTGGTTACCGGGGGTTACATATGGGTATCCTCTAGACGTGAAATCAAGGCCAGTGACTGGGGGTTTGTGTTCAGCACTGCGGCAGCAAAGCATACCACTGCGTTCAGGCTGAGCACTTATAGGTTCTGCTTTAAGGTCAGAAGCGCTATTAATTTTTTCAGCGTTTGATGGCAGAGAATCAAGCATTTTAGCCTGATGGAGAGGCTCGGCTGCTGGGAGCTGCCCGGTTTCGATGGGTTCAGGCTCCCTGGGGAGCACTTTGGCTTCATCGTCGAGCGTCAGCTCAGACTCCACTGCATGATGAATTTCAGAAGCTTCTTTGGAGGCCGGCACAGTGTCGCGTGACTCTGATAAAACAGCATTTTCGGTGCTGGATTCAGAGGGCCGGGCTGCCATAGACTTTGTGTCCGGTGCTGCAAGGTTGGATGCAATCGTTACAAGAGATCCAGATAATATAGGCTCCGAAGAGGAAGGTGAAGGGGCGGCATCCGCTGCCAAGCCCATGGGAGGATTTGTGGAGCCAAGACCGGATAACTCGCTTGTCTCGGTGCCTGCTTGTCCCACACCCCCTGAATCACAGATTGCTTTGTTTGCCGCATTGCCATCATTAATCTCGGCATTCAGGCAGCCATCATTTTCCACTCCCTTCACCTGAGTGTCTCCTCGTTCTGTAGTAGGAGGACACGAGAGAGGAGCCACTGCACTTTGATGCATCTCTACAGTGGATTCCTTGCCGCCAATTATCTGTTGTTCCTTCTCCCTTCCTTTTAAGGTTCTGTTCTTTTTCCCATCTTCCGTCTTGTCTAAGTTGACATTATTCAGCGTGGGAGCAGCAGAGCAGATCTCCTTCCCGACCTGATCCTTTTCTAAAGCTATGTTCGGGTGGTCTGTAGTGGGAGCTGTGGCTGCAGGTATACTGATATCTATCTCTGTTTCTGCTGTTTGAGTAGGGAATGAAACTGTATCTCTATGTTCATCGTTGGTTGCTAGGTCACCATGGGAGACAGCAATGGGGATATTGACATCAGTTTCTTGAAGACCAGAAACCCCCTGAGACCCACTCTTCCCATTGGCCATATCTGATGAAAGGCCCATTTCTTCCTGTCTTGTCCTCTCGTGTTCATTTCCAGTCTGCAGAATCATTGTTGGCTCCCAATCATTGGTTAGCTCCCCTTGGCAGAGGAGAGACCCATGTGAGCTAGCAGTGACTGAAGTAAGGGCATCAGCTTTTACTCTAATAGAGTCTGGGTGGCCTGACTCAAGATGCATTAAGACAGGAGCCACTGCATTTGCCATTAAATCTGTGAATCTCGCAGGATCAGAACTGCAATCTTGGAGTTTGATGGGTCTGTTTTGGATTAGAAATGGGTTCTGTTCTCTTGGAGTTTCAGGGAAGTGGCAGGAGCTCACGCCTAGATCCTGGTCTTCAGTTAGGGCGAGTGAGGCCTTCTCTAATTCACTTTTGGAGTCATTCTGAGTCACGGGAGAAGCATCGTTCGGCTGTGCGACATCTGACGATGCTGCAGGAGCGAAACCCTCAGGCACCAGGGAAGAGTCCAGCGCCCCCACTGAGATGGTCAACTCCTCCTCCCTGTCTAATCCTCTCAAATTTCCTGCGATTATTTTCGGTGGCTCCTCCACAGCAGCTGGCACAGCCTTCCTCTTAAAATCGTCTCCACCTGTCTTTGTTCCCTCCTCGGTTCCTTCAGTCTCCATGACCTTTGCCCTTTGACCTCCCTCCTCCTTTGCCTCTGTGAGGTCAGCTCCCTCACACTCAGCTGTTACTGAGAGACCAAAGGCTCTACCCTTTGTTTCTTCTTCCACAGGTCTTATAACCCCTGAGACCATTTGGCTGTCAGCATTCAGTGAAATGGCTTCATCTGACAGCAGCTTGGCTGGATCTGGCTCTGCATGCTCCATAGATATATCCTTCACGATATCATGCTTAGTCTTGTCCTTGTCCTCTACTGTTTCTTCCACCTGGCTGTCCTCCTCTGTGTGCTTAGTGCCAATGTCTGGTAGATGTTCTGCTGTAGGTGGCTGCATCTGGGGTTGCACCAGCACTGCATCTGCCTTGTGGTTTAGTTGGTCAGGTTCCATCAGCTCTGGCATTGTAGTTATAGATGTTGGGGGTTTCACCACCTCTGCTTCAAGGCCTTTTTGGATGGACTCCCCTTCGGTTCCTGGTCCTACTGGCAGCTCTTCCACCATCACCATAGCTGTTTCGCTGCTTCGCTGGACAGGTTCCAGTTCAGGCTTGCTGACAGAGGCTAGCAGATCTGCTACTGTTTGATGTGGTTCTACCACCTCTGCATGAGCCTTATCATGACCAGCAGCTTGTGGATCTGTCACTGTATATGGCACAGGTGGCGTTTCTGGCTTCTTGAGGCTGAAGAACTCTGGAAAGGTGAAGCTGCTCTCCACCACTGGGTGGTGCAGGCTCTCCTGCACAGTCAGGGGAGGCAGGGAGGCGCAGCTGCCCACGGCTATCGACGTTCCATCACATGCTCTCTTCGGCGGGCCCCGGTCCCCTTGGGTCTCTGGGCCTCTCATGGCGCCTGCCTGGCCTCCGGTACTGTCCTTCATCGAGTGCGAGTTTACCCCAGAGTGCTCGATTCCTGGCTTTGCAGGGGTCCCCCTGGGCGCCTCTCTCTCAGTGGGTAGTTCACCTTGCGGCCAAAGATGCTTGATGCTAACAGCCTCCTTGGATTTCTCTGGGCTGTTGCTGTCTCTTAATCCATCCGCCTCTGAGATGCTGGAGAGCTGAAGTAGCTGGCTGGCAGCCGGGGGCCTTGGTGGCAGGGCAGGCTGGATGGGGGGTTCCGGAGCCGAGTCTGGCCGGGTCCTTCCCAGCTCCGTGTAGTTACTCCCTGTCAGCACCCCCACTGCCTGCTCTTTGATGACAGCTGCTTCCGGAGGCCGTGGAGAATCTTTCGGTGGCTTCTCTTGCCGTCCGTCCGTTTCAGGATGCAAGTCCCCTCTGTTCCTTTCTTCCGTGGGGTCAGTGGGTCTTTTCTGGGTGGCGGGCCACGGGGGAGGGGGAGAATGCGTCTCTGAAAGAGCTGGCGGACGCAAAGCCCTTTCTGCAGAGTCGCTCTCCGGCAAGCCGGCGAGCTGGCGGCCGTGCTGCGGCGCGGAGTCGCTGACGTCAGGGGGCGGTCCGGCGACGTGACGTGCTCTGCCGAGGAGTTCCGGCTGCTCCTCTGTCCCCGTTGCCCCGCTGCCAGGCCCCGCTGCTTCTCTGAATGCAATGCGCTCTCCTCCCTTCTCCTCCCACTCTGTGCCGCCTCTCTCTCTCCCTCGCGCTTCCTGGCAGTCACATCGTGTTGGGCCAGGCAGCAAAACGTCAGTCTGGTCCTCCAGACAGAGAGAGTCCCTCTCCCTCCCCCCCTCCCCGACCGGCAAGTGAGCACTGCTCCCTGGGGAGCTGTTGGCAGCCCCGCCCCCTCCCTCCCCCCCCTGACTCTCAGCTGAGCTGTGTGGCATTTCAATGCAGCTGCCCAGCAATGGTGCGCTGTCACGCTCACCAGCAGACGAGTGGCTGATCTCGAGCGAGATTGATGACGGCTTCACAGATCCGCCGGCAGTGATTTCAGATGCTTCTGCTGCTGAGTTCCGAGGCGAAATTAATTCCTCTCTCCTTGCTGCTGCTGCTGAATTGGCTGCCGTAGCCGTTCCCTTGGACGAATCGCATCTCTCCTCCGCCTCTCCCTCGCCTTCCCTCGGTTCAGGCGCCGTGGGTGTTGTCAGTGGCAACGCAGCGGCCGTCAAAGCCTCTCCAAGGACACTGTGTGCCCCCATGCCTCCCTCGCCCCGAGGTGGACACTGGTCCACATGGGCCCCCATCCTTGTTGTCACACTAGAGCTCTGGTCCTGTCCAGCCCCGGACAGGCCCGGGTCGACAGGCACCAGCTCAGCAAATGTCTCCAGTGCATTTTTGTCATTTTCACCCCTCCCAGGGGGTGACTCTTGACTGCGGAGTGGGGCTCCAGCCACTGATATCAGATTGCGGGTGCCATCTGCCCCACCCCAAGAGGACTGCTGCTCAGATCCCTGGTGAGGGAGCAGGCTGAGGGCAGGTGAAATCACCAAGGCAGTAAAATGATCCGGCCCAGCCTCAGGGTCTGCTGGTAGGGGGCAGATGTTTGACTGTCCCTGGAGGCTCAGCTGTTCCTGGCAACTTGACCACTCTTGGGGCGGCTGTGCCTTCAGCCCAGCCTCCGCATTTGTTGGCGCATTTAACTCTTTACATGCTTCTAAATCCTTCTCCGTTGGTGCATCAAATTCTCCTAGTGTGTTCCGCTGCTCCTTTACAACTATCCCCCTGTCTGTATTTGCGCTCAAACCTCTCTCTTTGTCTGCCATTAAATCTGTTCCCATGATCCTCTGTAAGCATAAGCTTAACTCAGTGTCGATGACTGTCCTCGCTCTTGACCCCGTCAGTGAGTCTGTCTGTGATTTTAACTCACATGTGTTATTTATCTGTATTTTTAGCTCAGTTTCTGTATGTGCTTTCATCGCTAACTTGGGCTGTGTTTTTGCTCTGCTGCCTGTGTGATCATGCATGCTTTTTTCTCCTCCTGTGTCGTTCTCTGGCTCCGGCTGTGGGGTTGACAGTAGGCCCGTTCTTGCCTGGGAATCCATCAGCATCTCTGCTCCCCCCTTTCGGGGCTCCTCTGGTGAGCCGGGCCTCGTTTGTGGCATTGGTTCAGTCACCGCCTCAGCCTGCGGTCCCTGTGCCTGTGGCTCAGTCTCTGCATGAAAGGTGCTTCCTGAAACTCGCCTCCTCCCTTCCCACGTTTTTACATGCTCCTTCCTTTGCAGGTCTCCGTTAAGATCTTCTTGTGCATCTTCCCAAGAATCAAGGCGCATTTCATCTAGCTGGTCTCTCTGGGACACCACCTTTGTCCTCTCTGTCAGTGTCATAGGGTCCCTGCCCTGCAGCTCCTCCTTAAATGTCCACACCTCCATTTCTGTCTCGTCTGTCAACCGTGTCCATGTTTCTGGCAGAATGTCTTCATTTTGAAGATCTGGGTTTATCTCTTGTTCTTCCACAAGACCCGAATCTCTTGATGTCCCTTTTAATAAATTCATAGTCGACTCTGTCATTGTCTCTCTCATTCTACTTCCTGACTCCTTATCAATTTCCATGTCCCTCGTCTCAGCCAGAAAGTCCCCCTCTGTCTCACACTGTCTCTCTGTATCCTGGGCAAGAACTTCTGGTCCATTGCTGAGAAAATGCACATGTTCCTCTGTTTTTGTCTCTGCCAACAGGTCTGTGCCCACCCCAGATTCTATTTCTTCTGTGTACTTGGAAGGCGTTGTATAAATTAACGTCATATTTTGGAGTTGCATTAGTCTCTCTTCTGAGGAGTTGTTTGGCATTATGTCTGTTTGTGTAGTTTTAAAAGAACCTGTCATCTCGTGCATCTTTATCTCGCGTTTGGTGTCACCGTTTGTTTGCTCTGGCTCTGTGAGAAAGTTTAGCTCGGTCTTTCCGCTGGATAAGCTGGTATCCGATGGGGCTGCTGCACCGATGTCTGCCTCGTCTTCCTCCTCATCCCTCTCGCTCATGGTGCCCATGATGTAGTCTCTGAAGCTGAATATCTCTACTGCCCCCTGGCTATTCGGCTGTGTGTTTATGACCCCCACTGACATGGGAACCTGTGCCGGTCCGGGATCAAGGAGGTGGACCTCATCGGGCAGATGGGGTGACCGGGTGTCTGGCTCAGGGTCTCGGGGGAGGGTGGACGGGGGTGGGGCCAGGTCTGAGGCACCGACGTCTGGGCTGTCGACATTGGAAAACGGAAGTGAGAATCTCCCAATGAAAACACGGCAGAAGATTCCAGATGCCAGAACCCATGCACAGACAAGCACCACACTCTGCACACGGCACACGCAGGCAGGACCACCTCCGTTCCATCTCAGACGGGGGCGTGGCACTTCCATGCAGGCACAAACCCGCACTCGGAGCTCCACACACGGCACACGGGCTGCTGAGTGCTTCGGAATGAGCCGGAAGCTCCGGGAGAGCTGCTCTGGAAAATGCACCTTCTGCTGATGCCCAGGCAGATATGACCTCACACGCTAAATGCAAAACAGTAGCTACATGCTGAGCCCCGGGGCAGTTTGGCAAACCGGTTCTATCTGGCCCACACTGTTGGGTCTGTTCATTCGTTTAGCATCATCCACAGGGGGCTGCTGCCTTTTCTTTATTTTTTCTTTCACAGAACGCAATTTTTTGGTCGTTATTTTTGGAGGCATCAATCATTTTGACTACAGGGAAGGCTGCCATTGGGGCCTGCCCCACCTATCAGCTCACAGCCTCGTTCCACACACACCTCTGTGGCTGACCACTGCGTACTAAATGTGGAAGTAGCAAAAAAATAAATAAAAAAATTACAAAAAGCGAATTGTTTTAAGTGAGGGTGTGTGTGGGTGTGAGTCTGATATAATCTTTCACTTAGTGCCAGCTGCCAGCCTTTGGCTCTGGACGGCAGCTTTTGGCTGGACTCTGCATGGACTTCAGCTACCTTCAGCTTCCCCCGCACTGCAGCAGAAGGAGTTTGACACAGGTGCTTGCATGCTGAACATCAAAGGCATTCCCACAATGCACCAGTCCACAGTGTGGGTATCTCCAGACTAACCACAGACCCAGGGAGCCTGTCAGACTACAATCACACACATCTGTTCGGGATCAAACATAGTCTAACCCAAAATGGTTTATTACTGAGCAATTTCCAACAAAAATGGCCCCGCTGGTAAATGTTCCAGGGTGCAGTGACATTGCAGTTTTTGTGTTTTTGTTTGCTCATCCAGTGTTTCATGTGGGTTAATAAACTGGCCTGACCTACATCGACATCTACACGACTCCCTCTCTGGCACAGAACCTAGATCTCACAAGTGTGAACATGAAGGACCAACATTCCTTAACTGCCTCTTCCGAATGAACTGCAGCTCGCTACAGGAATCCGATATCCCTCCGCCTCCTTTCCATAGGCCCGGCGCATGCATGACTGAGTCTTAATGGCATACAGTACTCCACCAAACACGGAGATACTGTTCCTCCCGGCATCCGCCTTTTCCCTGAATCACAAAGTACATCCCTAAATAACCACAAAGAGGTTATTGAATCGCACAGATTAAATGTCATGATGTGAACATGAAGGAAAATTGAATAAATTGAATTAAATGTGTGACTTAGATCAGCACTCTTTTCTTTTCCGCCTTGGGTTTCCCCTCTGCTCCATCTCTATGTCCTGACTGCCTCAAGAACCAGACCAGAAGTACCTCCACCTGGTTTTTCTAAAGCCTAAACACTCAAAGCCTAATGCATCCAGCCATAAGCATTCTTGCTGTACTGTCCTGCTGTATCTCTTCATGAGCCTGTTCCCTCAAAGCCACAAAGGCCTTTCCTCCAGCAACACCGACAGTCACACGCAGCATTTCCTGCTGTGAATAAAGCAAAACGAAACTCTCTGAACCCCACACAGGTGACGCTCAGACCAGTGCAAAGAAGTGAAAAAGCAATTAAGACAAAATAATAATAATAATAACACTGGGTTACAAAAAAAATTTTTTGTGAGTTGTCTAATATATTTCTGCTGATTTTACATATTTCTGGCCCACAGAACACGAATATGGCATCAGTTTTTGTAGATCAGGTCAGGTTTTTCAGCTAAGTTGATTTTAAAATAGTGCGATTTTCTGTCTCGAAAAAATTTAATTTACCACAAAATTAACTTTATATATGCAAAGTGTATGTTCAATCATCACTGTTCAAAACTTGGGGCTTAAATTTCCTTTTCCTTGAAGTTCTGGAATGTCCAGCGGCAGGGATGTCTCTAGTCAGAATGTATTCGCCGCAAATGTAACAAAAGACATCAGGCTTATTTCTGCAAGATCTTCTTAATGATGCCATCTCATTAACTTTGAAACTCTAAATAACAATATTTGTAATATGCAGCAACAAAATTTTAAGTATAGGCCTATAAATGAGAAACACACACGCACGCACACAATGTAGTTTACGTAATGCTTTGCATGGCATCAGTTTATCTAATTTCGACAATAGATCAAAAAGTTGACCTGGTAGCGCAAAACCAATGTGATTTTTGGATTTAGCGCATTAAAATTATCCTAGATCAGCTATAAAAAGTTAGACCTTTTTTTCACTGTTGACCAGTGTAATAATAACAATACATACATACATACAGGTATGTAGCCATTTCATGGATGGTATATGGCAGTCAGAGAACCTTCTCTACCAAAACAGTGATTACAGTATGGAATGTTCTAGATATGGCAATGCGTGTTTCTTCTTGCATATTCTCCCAAAAAAATGAATGAGCAGCTAGTGTCAGCTAAATTTATAA